TAAGGTCCCATAGGGTTCTCTCCCAATGTTGTAGGGGTTCTCGACTACAAAATTCTCTCTACAACAAATTTTTTCTGTTCGTTATAGGGAGAGTCCACCTGTGGTTAGATTTGCAGTTAATGTGAAACACAAACAGAAATTAGAAATAGATAAAAATACGCTTTGTCTCCAAGGCAGTGATGTACAGTAAAAAGAAAGCAAAGATCAGTGAAGTGAAAAGAAAGTCAATTTTATATGTCTATAGAGAGAAAAATTGCGTTTGCCAGTCATCTCGGAAGATTTATGCTGGCAGTGCCCATCGAGTTGTACCCAAACCTTACTATCTACAACTACATTAAAATTCAGATAAAGGTTGAAACCCCCAGGCTTCAAAGTTCAGACAAAAGGAATCATGATCTCAGAAAACCTTCTCCTTTCTTGATTTTTTTTCTTTTGGGGGGTTAATATCGGCAAAGCATCATCGTGCCGTTTGTTTCTTCCTTTTCGGGGAAAGCAAATCACAAGGTCGGTTCACCCTCACCACCCATGCTCATTTCTCTTCCCTGCGCCTCGTATAAACTGCAGAAGTAGTGAAGTGAGTGACGCAAGGCACGCACAGGAAGGAAAAAGTGAGAGGCTAAGTTTCTACACTCACCCTGTCCCGCGCAGCATATGTGTGTGTAATAGGGGAGGGTGGCTTCACTTTCACTTGATGATTCAAATCGTGTTGCTGCAACGACTCCGACGCCCGCCAGTCCCTTGAAAATAAATATAAAAAAATACACTTATTCTCTGGGGTGCTAACTTCCTCTGTGCTGGTGGGTGCTCTCTTTTCTTTCTCAGTGAGAGATCAGCATCTTTGTTTTCTATATAGCCCTCTCCTTCTTTTATGTATTTCATTAAAATCTTGTTGGAACAATATGTTTTCATTATAAGGAACCCTTTCTCAACTCCATGCAGAAAGCCTGTAGAGTGCATGATGAAAAAATCTGGTTATAACAAGCTTCCCAATTCCAGTACATTACAGTTGAACCTCCTCAAGTTGAATTTCAAAGGATATTCAAAAACATTTGTATACTGGAGGAGGTTTCAGCTCGCGGAGGTTTGAAGTTATGGAGGCAAGCAATTTTTTGTGTGAGGAAGATGGACAATTTGCAGGAAATTGTAATTTGTAATATTCTGGGCCTTGAATTGATTCTTGAATGAGTTGACAGGATGCAGAACTTGGAGGCAGGAGTTCATTTTCAAAATTTGTCTTTCACTATTACTTTAGAAAGAATAGAAGCACATTGAGTATTTTTATTGCTTTTTGCTTTCCTGTGTCAATAGAATAATAACTGAAAGGCCTCCTAATTTAGGAGTTATGGAGGTTTGTCAAGAAAAGCCTTGGATTCATAGAGGTTTTCAATGCCCTGTTTCTAAGAGCATTTTGTGATGAACTTGAAAAATTTGCCTTGGAGAGGTTCATGATATTGATTTTCACTTTTATAGGCAGTACCTCGCAATTTGACCTTAATACATTTCCAAAATAGGCATGAATTGCAAAGCAGTCAAATTGCAAGATACTTTGTGAATTTCAAATATATAAGTGCAAAAAATTTAAAAAAAGTGGCCAGAGCAGGTTGAATTGTGGGGCAAGGGTCAGATTGCAAGTCAACCTCGTCCCTGCAAATTTGACCATCAAATTGCAGGATGGTTGAATTACAAGGTACCACCTGTATAACACACTTTTCTCAAGTCCCAGCTTGCCGATTTAGTACATTATAAAACAATCTCATTATAAAAAAACTTTTGTAATTCCAATACAGTATTGTAATACACTTGTTTTGAGGAATGTTGAATAGATTCTCCACGTGGGAATTTCCTAAGGCAGCTGCAGTCCGAAATTTCTGATCCAAAATGTGTCTGACTGATTCATTTAGCATGGGTGGAAGCTGTAATCAATGACAAAACATGTTACTGCATGGTTCCACACAACATCCTCACAGAATGAAGAATCCATATCTTCACATCATCTTCTGGAAATGAAGAGATTTGTGCAATTGATGGAATGCATGATTTCAGTTTCCTTCAGGATATTACTCAGATTTTCAAACAATAAATTCATCTGAGAGCTACAGAAAATCAAAATTTAATCAATCATATTCAGGTCTGGTGTGAACATTTTTTGCAGTCATTAATTTTGAAAATATTGTTCCAAATATTATTCAGTATAACAAACTTTTTCAGAAGTCCCCAAAAGTGCGTTGCAACTACATTTTACATTGCTGTATTATTGTTTTTTTTTTACATCGGGGCGCGACGAACAACGTCAAACAGTACGTTTTAGAAAGGGAGAAGCATACATTCTTCTGGTGCTTCTTGTTGATGGCTTCGGGACGTTTCTACTGATTGATGATGATGATACACATTCTGGTCGTTGGATATCTTTCGGGACCGTCAACTTTTTCATTACATTATGAGCGTTACACTGGAATGATTTTTGAGGGTAATTTTTTCTGAAAGGAAATAATCGCACAGTTTTTCACAGTTCTCGCGATTTTCCGGTTGTTTGAACAAAGTCACGGACATCAAAATTCCCAAGGACTCCTCGCTACAAAAAAAAACTAACCGAAGTGATTTGGGGCTCTTATTGATGTCTAATCATCGCAATTTGCGCCGCATAATATGGTGTTGTTCGAAAAAGTATCTCTTTCTGATAAACTGAGTTTCATGACCGAGAACTTGAGAATCACTTATGAGGGCTTATTTGCTCATCAAATTAAACTAGTTCTTTGCTGTTGAACGTGAATACATTTATATACAAGGTTTGGGAACGAGAATTAGTGTCGCCCTGTGAGTCAATCGATATTGTCCGGAATGTTTATACAGTCGTTCATTGATTTATTTTTGCTGCTCATTCTTATACAGAGACGTGGTTTTTCGGTGATTCAAAGTCGGTAAAATTTCCTTCTCTTCCTAGAAATAATGCTTCAAGGAATTTGTTTGACCGGTGCAAAAGTTCAAAGGCCAGTATTTTATTTCTGGAAATTTTGATTTCAGATGTCATTTTTTAACCTTTTCGACTTTATATATAGCAATCCGGCGCACAATAGGGCTTTAATGGATAGTATTTTCTAAATATATATAAATAAAAAGCAAAATGAGCAAGAACATATTCGCATTATTGTTTTCTTGCACAGTCTATTTTTCAAAATTTGGCGATTTGATGGTGCCCTAAAATCCCTAAATTTTGGATGAAGAGAAAGAGAAGGTTATTGAGCATGGGTTCACCCTTATAGGGTTTCCATGGGCTTGCCTACCTTAACTTCTCTTCAATTTTAACTAGCGTTTTCTGCTGTTTCAAGTTTCGTAAATTCAGGTGAGAGTGGCACATTATACTTCAGGACAAGCTTAATTTTTGTGAGTACTTTTGGGGCATGAGACGTCATGAAAAAGTTGAGGCTTGGGCTTAATAAAAGAGCTCATAAAACACCAGGCACGGAACCCAACTGACCCACCTTGGTCATTTGAAATAGCCTCGATGTTCGTGAATTATGGAGGGAAATTTTGTTCTTCGTTAAAACGGCATTCATGGTTGGCTCAGTCCAGCCTTGTGAAGAAATTAGGAAAATGGATAAAAATCCCCTTTTCTCCCGAAGTTTTGTTGTTGTCATTTATGTGAAACATGAGGAGGAAGAAAGCATGAGCCATCATTTCTTCGTAATTTAAAATTATTTGAAGTTTGACTATTTTCTTCAAGAAAGGCAAAAAAGGGATCAAAATATGCGTATCATAGAGTTGCAATAATTTATCTAAATTTTATCGCATTTTGGCAGACGAATTGCTAGATGCTTTATGCTAAAAACGCATTGGTTGATAAGCTTAATGTAATTTTAGTTGCGGTATTGCCTGCGGATTTCGCAAGGAAACAAATATCAATGAATAAAAAAGCGATGTTTTCACCAATTTTTCAGAAGCATGTTTCCTGAGTGTACAGTACTCAAACCGCTTTGTGGTTTTAATATGGAAACTCCATTAGGTCCGAGAACATAACAATTTCGTCAACTCTCGCGATAATAAAAGCGAGTAATTTTTTTTCTCTGAACAAATTAGGTTTTCAGATTTTTACCACTTAAATCCTATAGGCCTTGCATGATGGTGAAAATACCGTTTCATTTCACACTCATAAAAAAAAAGATTTGACAGTTTTTATTCAAAGTGAAAACCTGAATAAAGGGGGAAAACGGGAAGCTATCAAGTTCCAAATACAGTATGCCCGACTTTGGCGTAGTTTACATAAGAAATGTGCGTTCAAAATATGAAATAATGCATGGAAAGAAAAGGAAAAAAATACTGGTCCGCCTGGAAAGAAGTTGAAAAAAATATTTCTTGAAGGCTCTGATGTGGACATAGTGGTTTTTGTTACTAAAGTGTCGTGGAGAACTCCAAGCAACGCATTTTAAATCAATAACCATGACACACATATTAATAAAATAAATGTGAAAATGAATGAAGGGCTTATATATATATTTCGAAAGCCGCTCGAGTCGACGATGGACCTGAAACTACGCGAAAATATATGACTGTCACTTCCGCCACGTGCCAACCAATTAATCCCAAACTGCATTTCCAGATGTACCTGGGAGACCAGCAGCCATCGCATCGTGAAAGTGCCAGTGCCACTAGCTGTCGATCGTCGACATCGTCGTCGTCATCGTAAAATACTGGTCCGCCTGGAAAGAAGTTGAAAAAAATATTTCTTGAAGGCTCTGATGTGGACATAGTGGTTTTTGTTACTAAAGTGTCGTGGAGAACTCCAAGCAACGCATTTTAAATCAATAACCATCACACACGTATTAATAAAATAAATAAGAAAATGAATGATTGCTAAAGTGTCTTGCAGAACTCCAAGCAACGCATTTTAAATCAATAACAAACACACACGTATTAATAAAAGAAATATGAAAATTAATGAAAGGCTTATATATATTTCGAAAGCCGCTCGAGTCGACGATGGACCTGAAACTACGCGAAAATATATGACTGTCACCTCCGCCACGTGCCAACCAATTAATCCCAAACTGCATTTCCAGATGTACCTGGGAGACCAGCAGCCATCGCATCGTGAAAGTGCCAGTGCCACTAGCTGTCGATCGTCGACATCGTCGTCGTCATCGTCGCTGTTGACTCGCGCGTGGGCCAGCAGCGGCGCTAGTTGGTTGCGCTTCTCTCACGCCGTCACGTCGTCCCCGCGGTCGCGTCGCCTCTCGTCGCAGCTCCTGTTCGCAGGTGTCGCTCTTTTCTTCCTACACCAGCTGGTGTTGGACCGGGCCAACAGGCCCCTGCAAGAACCCGTCAGCAGTGTCGCTTCCACGCCATCTTCGAGTCTTATAGACACGAATACTGTCGACGTTGGGAATAACAGAAGGCATGACGTTGTCAGTGTCGGTGTCGGTGATGACGAAGACAGAGGTGATGCGGAAGAAGAGGTGATTGCGACGCCGATCAAGGCTAGTGTGGAGGAGCTGCGGGAGTACATGCGGCATTACAACAAGATTCTCAGAATGTTGATTAGCAAACGGACGAGGGCTGAGTGGGCATTTCAGACCAACACTACTGATGAGAATCTGATGTGCAGGGTGAGAGAAACTTCATTTGATGACCAAAAAAGTGCTGTGTGCTATGAAATCAAAATCAAAGCATGGGATGTGAATGTGTGTGAATCTAAAAATTTATACATTACTAATTGATGTAGTACAGTGCTCCCCAACCTGTGGTCTGTGGACCAACAGACCTGGTCTGCAGAAATTTTGCTGGTCTGCAAGACATTTTCTTCAGCTTAAGACATTTATCAGAAGTAGCCATGAAGTCTGTTATCTCTATCTGAAATTTTGGACAGACAATGGCAGTTGAAACTATCAGATGAAAAATAAAAGTTTACTTTTCTCAATGATGCTTCAGACAAATTTTCACCTGCTGAAATACATTATTTCAAGTTTTCATGTGAGGCACCTTCCTTCAAGACCACCTTTCTAATTTTTGGAGACATTCCACTGTAATTATTGCTTCAATGATTCTTAACTTGATTTTTGCAGTAAGCAAAAACTTCTTAAATTACTTCCATAAATCAAGTCTTTCAAAAAAACTTTCTTGAGCCTACAAAAAATTTATGAAGCTTTGCCAGTTTGCAGAAATTTGCTGGTTGGAAGGTCCAAAAATATTGGGGAGCCCTGATGAAGTAAAGTCAACACCTGCACAACATATTTGATTTGTTCAACAGACGAGTTTGTTTTGTGAAAGGTGTATTATGCAAATGAAATTACTGAAAAAGTAAAAGTTTATTTTTAACATTAATTTTAAACCAACAGAAGTTATGTGGATTTAGCCCATTTCGAGGGAGGGAAGAGCCAGTCTGTTGTGCAAAACTCAATTGTGTGGGAGGTCCTTTGTGCGGGGGTCAACTGTACATAAAATTATCCTTATATAGACCTTACTGCGCAATATTCCCTAGAAATGAATAGCTATGTTTGAACCCCATACATCATCCAAAAAACTTGATGCTCATTCTGATGCTAATTCTCAAATTGATTATTTAATTGACTTGAGCAGCTGAATATCTTCTTTGAATTGTAAATGAGACCTGAGCTTCCAGAAAGGTATTCTCGTATTTTTTTATGGCAAAATTTCTGCGTGTCCATAAAAACAGTTTTATTGTGCAGCTACTTTGGTCCTATATGAGTAACGGTATTACTCATATAGGCACAACATTTGAAGAAATCCTATAGTATCCCGAATTTTTGATCAAATGACCATCAGCAAAATTTAGGTGAACGTGAAACAAACGGCAATACAGTACTGCGTTTTTTTTTTATTCAGGAAATTTACAATCATCAGGCAAATTTCTCTTGCGGGTGCATACATAAATTTATTTCCGCCTGGATCTCAGCAGATCAAATTGAAGAAAAAAAAGTTTGAGGGAATGGAATTGAACATTTCCCATTTTAAAGTTGAATGGGTTCGCAAAACAAAATTTATTCTGCCTCTTGCGGCGCATGGAAATATTGCTTTCCTCGCGAAATTGGGTGAATGCAGAAAACCATGCAAAATGATTTTTTTTAATGTCTCTTCTTGAAACCTTCGTCGAAAAGGATTCGGGAATTTGACCAGAAATTTTTTTTCGTGGACCATGCAAAAACTGTTCTTTCATCTGCATTATTCAAGGTCGTTTGAACATTTAAATTCTGGCAAAATGATTGCAATATGAAAATTCTTCAAGCCTCTCGCGTGGAATTACAAAAATCGTTTCCTCTTGCATTCCCGTATGCAACTGAATCGCAAAAATCGCTGTAAAATAAACTGAGAAATGTCTGCAGAATTTTTTTTTAGACAGAAGAGTGAAAAATGAACATTCTCAAATCGACAGTTGAAAACATTCCCAAAACTGACGATATCTTCTGTCTCTTGCAGCGGATGCCACTGGGTAAAAAAAAAAAGCTCTGTAAAATGATTTTGCAAAATTGTCCCTTCTTATTGCATCCACAGTTGAAAGGATTCGCAAAACTGACCAATTGGCAAACAAACGAATGGGAAGACCACATCAGTCTCCTGGACTGGTCCATTCTCAAAACAGTAGACGAGCCCGAGTTGCGTCGCATGTACGAATTCGTTTCGGACCTGGGAAGCAAACCCATGGAACGGGAGAAGGTTCGTCAGGTGAGTTCAGCCCAGTCATTTTCATATACGTATACTGTACACACTAATCGGAAAAGAAAGGTAAAAATATAAATCACACAGAAAATGTCAAGACGAAGAAGAAAAAAAATATCGAACATGAGACCCCCACGTGAAATATGAAGACGAATCCGTCGCCTCAGGGCAAATCCCGGCGAAGGGCGCGCATTACTCAGCGAATAAATCGAAAAGAGCAGGAAGGAAGCTTCGCCATGAAAAAACCGGGTTAAAAGTGTGTGCTAATGATATGCTTTCACCTTTTAAAGCAAAGAACAACCAACAGAAACTGTTCAAATAAAGCATTTGGTTCATGGAACCGTTGATTTTCTCGGCCTCAATAATTGTTCTGTGTGTGCCTTTGCCGCGAGCTCATTTGCGTCAATCCTTTAATTATACCAAAAAAGGACAGCCAAAATACGTAAATTCATAATACAATTGACAAAATAAGAACAGTTCGATTGAAGATTAGTGGAATAGTCTAGTCTTAACTTATTAAGTGAGAATCGTTTCCTACAAGAGGTAAGAAAGACGGAAAAACAATGATCAAAAAGGATCATTCGAAGCGATAGAAAAAGCATTCAAAAATTTTTCTGCAATATCTATTTCCAACAAGGAGCACAAATTCTAGATATTTGGACTGAGTCTCACTTTCACAACCATCGGAAATGTTCGCAATTTTTCTGAATTTTCGCCAATTCATCCATTACCTGACAAAAATATGTCGAGAAATATATTTCAACAGCTGCTCATTCATTTTCAACTCGGAAGAGTCGCGAAAATGTGGGCGTAAAAATGCGTTTCTTTTTCACAAATAATTGCAAAAGGCAGAAATTATTTCGAACAGCACTGGGCAGTGAAATGAAATGTCTCTGAAAGAAACTGACGTCATGTGATTGAATATGCTTTAAAAATTCAAATCAGTTTGAATGACCAGCTTTTATATGCTGTAATACTTTTCCCACTGCAATCGTCTTGATTTGAAACGGAAACATCGATATGCCAAGAAAACTCAGTGGGATTTTTAAAGGTTTAAATAAAAGAAATGCTGTGAATGATTTTCCCTGCTTGAAATCCGCAGGCATCTGAAAAAAAATTTCGCAATCAAAAGAAGAAAGAAACATATAAATCTATATAGAGTACCTTAACGACTAACGACCGCTTTCACTGAGTGCATTTCCGCTTCCGGTCTCTTTGTTTACTGCAACTTTTTTAACTACAGGGCGTGGTTCGTCTTGAAAATTCCGTCGTCATCTTCCGAAGCGTGTGCTTGCGAAATGTCCTTCTTATTCTGGGTAGGATGAGATTGAGGAAGTCTTTACAAGAGGAGAATTGGTCAAAACATTGCTAAGCTCTTCAATACGCTATGAAAACTTCCATAAAATGTTTTTTATGTAAACATCGCGGGATTCTTTAAAACTTGAGCATTCTTTCGTCGCGCTTTCGAATGGAATTCGCGATTTAGCGTCCATGATAAAAATATCGTGTTTCGACATCTTGGAGTTATTGGTACGTTTCTTCGTTATAAATTTTGCAATGCACCTTAAAAATTACAGACCATTGAAAAGTACTTTTCGGAAGCATTTTGCTGCGCTAAAGTCTGGCCCATGAAGCATTAATAGTTATATTGAGACGTTGCAAGTCCAGGAATGTCTCCAAAAATTCAGAAACTTTTTGAGAAATTTAAAAATACATTATCTTCAGCAATAAAACTAAGAAATAAGGGAAAATAAAATTTCGTAAAAATCGAGCAGAGTTCATGTGATTTCTAAGGCTGTTTTCAGCAGCCCTTCAGTATTTTTAACCATTGAGAATTCTTTTGATTACGAATTCGTACGAAAATGCTTTAGTTCTCCGAGCATTTATATACTCAAAGAAATTTTGCACTGCACTTCGAAGGGATTTCGTCACACATTTTACATTTATTTCATAGATGATAGAGTTCTCTAAAAGTCTCAATAAACATTACAATCATAAAATTATATATGAGAAAATCAAATTTATGTGGAATTCCAACCGATTTTTAAAGCTGAATTCAGTTTTACTCGAAAGATTCCCATTCTGCGAGCAGACTGTATTTATTGTTTGAAAATTTTTCGAGCTTTTCCGTAATAGTATTCGCATACTGTTACATTATTTTGCAATCATCCCTATTATTTTTTTGATATTCGAATAATTTCCCGGCGATTCTTCTCGAATAAAAAATTAAAGCTTACTGACCTTAAGATTCGGAAATCGATTTCGTTCATGGCCAAGAGTTTACTGCTGCGTTCCATGGATTAAAAATCAATTAAACCTGAAATATGGAATACACTAATTCTTGTACTGTATATATTTTGAGGTAAAAAAATTCAATTAACTTGTTTTGAAATGGCGGTAAACATCGTTTTCTCAATTTTTCCACTTCATCTTCAGGCATCGAAGTTTCCACAATAATCTAGTCACATTGCATCTCCATTTATTACGACGATTTTCCGATGCTATTTCCTCGCGCTGAAAAGAAAAATTTGAATCAGGTGCAGTAGTACAGACAGTACAGAACACTTACTTTTAGTATGAAAACTTTCCTGAGGAAAATCCAAGGATTTCCAACTTCAATGCCGTGAAGTGGACATATCCATTGACACACTCATCCTCTGACCTTGATCTGCTTTGCACGTTTTTCCAGTTCCGGGACATTAAATGATTTGCTGTCGTATAAACATTCACCCGACCTTTCTTAAAATCGGAAGGTTGAGATTTAATTCTTCAACGTTTGTGCTTTGAATTTAAAAGAAAAAAATTCGTTTCACATCGGTAACATTTTAGAAGGATGATATATTTCCGGCGTTGTATGAGGGGCATAAATCTTCCCAAGACGTATGTTGATAGTGTCTATATTCAATTTAAAAAAACAAATATGGTATTGATAAGCATAATGTGAAAATTTTTATTCGCAAAACATATTTCAGGATTTACTGATCAAGTGCATCCGTTGCAGCCTGTGATTCATTTGAATTTCCATTCAATTTTTTATTTCGTTTCTCTAAAATTAGCGTAAAAGTTTGAAGAAATGATCAATAGAAAAATGTTTTTGGCTGATTCATACGAGTTGGACCGAAAAGTAGATACATTTTCAAATTATTGCATATTTCAAAAGGTCAAAGCTTCCACAGCACGTATTCAATGAAGAAGTTGACTGAGTCATCCTTAAAATCGCAAGGCACTTTTGTAAATAAGCACTGCAGTGCTTATTTACACGTCTTTTTGTTACTTGTCATTTTGAATCCCCGCCTGGTTGTTTTTTAAATTATGCAATGCCTTGAAATTAAAAATTAGCGTTCACCACTTGGAAATACTGTAAGCTTAAGATGGCGTTAATGTGAACGTGCGGTTTTTCTCCTCGCCGTATTCTCAGCAAACCCCTCTAAAAATCGCGTTGTTGTTCAGAAAATATAAGGAATGCAAAAAAGGAATATAATAAGGTTGGTTGTAAAATTTCATTTCTGCAGCGCAATATCCTGGAAGGGGAGATGACAGAGACGTACAAAGACGCGGAAGTTTGTCCGTTCAACAATCAGCACTGCGACCCGCATGAGGACGAAACTTGGAGGCTTGAACAGAGTTTGTTTTTAACCCTATTCTTTCTAATTATATATCATTTTTTGCTATAGTATGTATGTTACAGTAATTACATGCATCAGAATGCTCCGAATCTATTTTCAAACCCATGGAGCGTTTTCTAGAATATATTTAAGTGACAGCGCCTTTCAGGCAAAAAAAAAGTTTCCAATGATTTAAAAACTTCTCGTCGCTAAAATGATTTGAAGACTTTCATAGTTTCAAAATATCTTACTCGTTTAATCGTTTGCTCTTACAATTTATGACGGCTAGCAACAATAAAAAGATGTAATGAAAAATGGTTTTGCAAAATTCAGGATAAAAATCGTTTAAAAGTCAATCAAACATCACATCTGAGTCTGACTCAAAATAATATTAAATAGACTGAAAAGGAGATTGATTTTAAAATTTCAATGTCTTCCGAATGATTTATGGTAACAACAACAAAAATATGTAATGAAAATAGTTTTTCAAAATTCCATATAAAAAATCGTTCTAAAGTCAATCGAACATCACATCTGAGTCTGACTCAAAATCATATTAAATAGACTGAAAAGGAGATTGATTTTAAAATTTTAATGTCTTCCGAATGATTTATGGTAACAACAACAAAAATATGTAATGATAAGCAGTGTTGCAAGAATCAGGATAAAAAATCTTTTAAAAATCAATCAAACATCACAGCTGAGTGATCTGACTCAAAATAATGTTAAATGGACTGAACAGCAGATTGCTTTTAAAATTTCAATGTCCTCCGATGATGATTTATGCTTTTATACGCGGATATACTGGAATAAAAATGCTTCCAATTATCAATACAATTTTACGGAACTGTTTCCCTTGGGTATTTTTATTTTTATTTTTACAGGGACGAAGAATTTTACTACTTATTTGAAAGCTGGTAGAATATGGTACTTAAATTTTCCCCTGTCACGGCTTTAGCTTTTCATTTCGTTCAAATTTTTGGATTCTGGAGGTAATGCTGTCTTGGTTTGTTGAATGAAGGATAAGTGACTCTTATCTCGGGGAGTTTTTGATTACAATTGATTTTTGACCATGAAAACAAACATTTTGAAGGCTTGAAGAAGGAGCTGAAGCGATCTCAAACCCGCAAGGGAGTGCCTAAAATGGAGTACATTTGGAGGACATGGCGTGATTTGACTGGGAAAAAAGTCCGCAACCAGTTTATCGAATATGTGCGATTATCCAAAGAAATCGTGGATGCCATGGGTATGAAGAAAAAAATATCAGAATTTATTCCAAAAGTCTGTTTTTTTTTCGTGATTTATATTTGAATTTATTTGTGTTCGGGTGTGTGATATCTTTCTGAAGGCGACCCTAAAATCAAAACCCAGAAAGATCTCTGGTTGGAGGCCTACGAATCGCCGGAAATCGAATTCGAGGTGCATCGCATTTATGAGGAATTGCGGCCGTTTTATTTCGAATTCCACGCCTTTGTTCGACACCGACTCAGTTTGCATTACGGCAAAGACATCGTGGACCCAAAAGGCCTCATCCCATCGCATCTCCTCGGTATGATCATATTTTCGCCAATTTATTATCGTAAATTACTCAGTATTATGCGCTTTTACACAGGCACCAGAAAAACCTGCCAAGGGCGAAAAATCTAGATTTTTTTTCATGACGGAATTAATTTTGGACAGGTCTGATGGATATAGAGTTATTTTGGCAAAAAGATCTTCACTTGAAAGGCGAGTTTTCTTCTATAGGTTATGACTTTCGTTTTGTGCTGTTTTGTAGAAATTGTCACACAAACAATTATTGAGCAGGAGCGTAAAAAAACTGTACTTCGTTTCATATGTGCCTGAGAACCCTTTTTGTAGCTTTATTGTACCACTCACTTGGCTCATTATTGTTCTTCCTGGTACTTTTTTCAATATATACTGTTGTGAAGTTGGAACTGTGACATAAAAAAGTATAATATCCCATAAATATGGATGACGTATTTTCTTTTTCGAACGACGAACCAAGAATATGTTTAACCACAATCTGTTCTATCATTTTTTATGAATGACTTTCTTCGGAATTGGTAGCTGCTGAACGAAACATTTCACCTCCAACTTTTCTCCTGGTAATCGCTGAGAAGGTTCCGAGATTCTAATTGAGCCTTCGATCGACATTTAATGACGTTTAATGGATTTGTGTTCACTTTCTTATAGGGAATCTGTGGGCGCAGAAATGGCATGACTCGTTCGGCGTGGTATCAGAGTTCCCCAAGGCGTTGCTCGACGTTACACCGAACTTGCAGAAAGTGAGGCCATTTATCATTCATCATGTGATGATCATTATAAGCGATGATTAGACCGTTTTGCTTATTCCTTTATCGTCAATTATTTCCTGATGATTCAGTGACACGTTACTGGTTGTCTGAAAGGCTCGTATTCATATTATGGGATTTGGCGTAGTTTTAAATAAGACATCTAGCTTTTAAATAATGTTATATGGCCTCTTTTTCTGGTTGACTATTACAAAACTTGAGATTTATTCATGTAAGTAAGTAATGCATGTACCGTATTTAGGTAAGATGCGATTGTATCTGCGAAAAATATTTTTCATTCCCTGTAATTTGAAATTGAAATTAAAGGTCAAGTTGTAGATGATCAAGCGAAAAATTAAGATGCCTCAAAATATGGATGATTTTTGGTAATAATGTACAATAATGAAATGCCTGGAAACAACCGCATCCAACTCACAAGAAAACTTCCGAAAACGGTTAAATTTTTCCTTGACATAAAAGTGTATTTTTAAATTTGAAAGAAGATTGTTTTAGAATGCGAGCATTAACAGTTAATTCTGCGCTTGAGTTTCTTCCAATTAAATTTTTTATATTTAGAATACAGTATTCGTAAAAATTTCATTTCTGAATTATTGCGATGCTGAAATCAAATTTTAAAAGTTCACGACATTTTTTCTTCAAGTACGTCATCATCACGTTGACCGATGTTCCCGTCTATTGGAAAACAAGTTGATTTTACAAAGTTGGCAAGAAATTATTCACCTTTCGAAAAGAGAACTGCAAGGTTTCCTTTGGTCCTTTCATAATTAAAGATGGGTGATTTACTTTTCAGTCTTTCGAATGATGTGGGAATATATATATATACTGTATTTTAAAGAGGCGAATTATACCAATTTTTATAATTTGGGCGTTCACTGAATTCGAGACTGAAAAATAACTTTAAAATGATTCTACTGCAAAATCTTATGTATGATTACTAGTTTTCCGTTCTTCTGCAAGATTTTTGCCGATTTAAACGCTTCGAAATTTGTTTTTCATCCATTTTGCTTTGAGATCGTCGGGAAGTTTTTTTTTCTTATATAGAATGTTTTTCCCACAAACCACACATGACAACTATTGTAATCTTTTTTATATTTATAATTCAGCTCAATTATACGGTGAAGAGAATGTTCGAAGTCGGAGATCAGTTCTTCACTGGCCTGGGATTGATCGGATTGGAGGAAGGATCACCGGATTGTTTGCAATTGTCAATGTTGGAACGACCGAGGGACGGACGCAGGGTCAATTGTTATAATGACGCGAAGGACTTCATGCTCACTGACCAGCTTCCTGGGGATTTCCGGTGAAAACTATTTTCTTTTATCGCTGGCATTCTCCTTGTCATCGTTTATCCTATTCAAATGCTAATTGGAAATCATTATGGATTCTATAGTTACATCGGTAGTGATGGAATAATTCGTTACACAGTGACGCGGGTGATTTTCAAAGCAATGACTTCATGCTCTCCGAAAAGGTTCTTATTGGGGATATCCGGTGGAAACAATTTTCTTTCATTCTTGGCATTCTCCTTTTCATCGTTTGTCCGATTCAAAAGCAAATTGAAAATCATTATCGAGTGTAGTAGAATCCCAATGTTGAATAATTCGTTACAACACGATTTTCTGAATCAATGACGTCACGCTCACGGACCAGCTTCTTGGGTATATCCGGTGCAAACAATTTCATATTATTGTTGGCATCATTTATCTTACTCAATTGAAAATTAGAAATCATTACGCAGTGCAGTAAAAGGCCAGTATTGAATAACTTGTTGTGACACGAATTAAAAAAAATTCAACATGACTTATTCATGCTCACTGACAAGAATAAGCTTCTTGGGGATTTCCGGCGAAAACAATTTTATATTATTGTTGGCCTTCTCTTGTGATGATTAATCCTGTTCAAATAGAAATTCGAAATCATAATAGAGTGCAGTAAAATCCCATCATTGAATAATTCATTATGAAACGATTTGCAAAATCATTGACGGGAAAATTTTTAATAAATTTGAGCCGTATTCATTCCAGTTTTTCATTTTCTAGAATTATAAAATGTATTCACTGTTATTGATCAGAAAACGCAAAGATCTTTGATAATAATGCCAATGATGTTACAAAAATGTATTTTTGACTTTCTACAGCAGATCATATAATTCAACAGTTGTATACTTTCTGAGAGTGATTAATATTTTTCCCTTTTGAACGTATCAGAAACTTGATCTTTTGATCAAGAGTGAATTGTTCGCCTATTCTCTATTTCATTTTTTATTACTCATTCTGTAAGCTGTTAAAACCAAAATACAGATAAAATTTACATCAGTAATAAATCTAATAATGCAGAAAAGTCATTTTGGGACATTATGAGGGGTAGTAAAATATTTATTTACTGTACTTTGTCGAAATAAAAACTGTCTAAAAAGGCGCTAAACAACTTGAGAGCATTTTTTGTCATTAATTGAGTTCACCTGCAACCCATGTTCCATGGGGTACCCAACCAAAAGCCCCCC